GAAGGGGCAAAAGAAGCTTCCGCGTGGTGAGTTGTCCATGGTTGTGATGATGCGTGACATGGTTGAGTTCTACACCACACAGGCCCAGGCCAATAAAGGCAAGATAGCAAAACGCTTTGAGGCATTGGCCGTCGAGGTGATGAAGGAGCTCGAGAGTTTTGAACAACCACAAATGCAGACTGACCCAACCTGTTTGACTGCGAGCACTGTGAAGCAGCGTTCGAGGCAGACTGGCCTCAAGGGCCGTGGCATGCTCATTGAGTTGTGCACCGAGCCGGACTCCAACCTAGGTGTTGTTGGTGAGAGGTTGAACGTCAAGGTCACACGTTGTACCAAGGAGGTGAACAATTTAGAGTATGAGAGTACCACGTCGCACCTGAAGAACTTCATTCGTGAACACCCAGGTATTGATTTGTGGGCTAGCCTTCCTTGTGGCCCGTGGAGCCAATGGCAATACCTCAATGCACACCGTTTTGGGGCAGAGTTCAGAAAGAAGTTGGCCAAGTCGAGAGACTTGTCATTGAAGCTGCTTGATCGCTTTTGCGAGCTTGCTAGATGTGTTGTTGAGCATGGTGGGGATGTTCATTTTGAATGGCCCAGACATGCGTTGGGTTGGAAGCAGGCTGCATTGTGCCAGCTCATTCGAGACATTGGCATGACAGTGGAAGAATTTGATGGTTGTGCGGTTGGGCTTGTTGATCGGCAGGGCACGCCGTTCCTCAAGAAGTGGCGAGTGGCAACAACTAACGAGAACCTCGCGAAGAACTTGAGCGAGTGTCGATGCAGGCATGATGCTGATTTCAAACATGCACCCATCACAGGTTCCAACACGAGCACGACTGCAAGATACCCAGAGATTATGTGTGAGATCGTCTTCTCTTCTTTGTTTCCTGACCTTGTTTTCAAGGAGGTGCCCGCCATGCCCGTTTGCGAGGCAGCTGTTTGCGTGGTTGCCCAGGAGCATGTCGAGAAGGAGCCAAAGGAACAGGTCTACCGTGGACCGTTGGTCATTGAAACCGTTGATACCTTTGCAACTCCCGCCGAGCTTGAAGATGACCTTGCTCCCGCGGATGACGAAGCTGAATTTGCAGAGTCGAGAGATGATAGGTTGAAGCGTGAGGCAAAGAGCCTAGACCACATCACGACCCACGCGAAGAAGAATCCTTTTTGTGAGCATTGCGTGCGTGGTCGAATGTTGAAAAGATATGCCCACGGAGTTCGACCTGAGCCTAGTGATGAAGCGTACGAGCGCTCGGCTGCTTTTGGCCGTGTGCTCGAAGCCGACCACATGTTTCCGTCGGAAGAGAGCGTGAGCAGCGCTGGGGAGAAGGTGGCTCTAGTGATCGTTGATCTCTTCTCCGGTCTGAGCATGGCCTATCCGGCCAGAGACAGGTCAGAAGAATCCTGTTACAACTCATTGAAACACTTCGGTGGCCATAGGTTGAACGGTGATACCGGTGTCATTTTTAAATCAGATGCAGCCGGTGAGTTGACCGGAGCGGCATCCAGGCTGTGCTGGACAACATCCCCGAGCATCCCCAGGGATTGGCCTCACGCGGCCCACGTCGAACGTGAGGTGAGGACGTTGAAAGAGTTGTGCAGACCAGCACATCTCCAGGCCGGCTTCAGCAAGAAGATGTGGCCGATCTCCGTTGTTTACACTGCAAAAGCTCGTGCCTTTTGGTCGCCTTGTGTGATTCGCAAGCATGAGCGTGGGACGGAGATTGAGGAGCTCAAGACTGGCAAGACCCGTTGGGAGGTTTGCGCAGGTGAGCCCTTCCTTGGAGTGAAGTACCCTCTTGGTGCACTTGTTTTCTACAGGGCCAAGAGCGATGGAATGGCCGCTCCAACTACAAGACCAGGCTTGTTTGCTGGATGGCGTGTTGACTCAGGCTTGCGATATCGCAATGTCGTACAAGTTGTTGACTATGAAGCTGTCCGTGCAAGGGCGCATTTGCATTGGAGTCCCAAGGACTTGCATGAGAAGGAGGTGTTTTTCCCTCCTGTTGAGCACATTGAATTTCCCTTGTCCAACGCGGCAATGAAGGCGTTGAAGGAAATGTCTGACCCTGATGTTGAGGTGAAGAAGAAGATCTATGACAGATCTCTTGAGTCGGGCGTGCTCCCGTATGACATTGACATTGATGCTTTTCCGGAAGATACCCCAGTTGCACCCCCACGTCATGCATACATTACTTTTTCACGTTTGTTGGAGCATGGTTTTACGAAGGGTTGCCCTGGATGTGATGGTGGCCACTACCGCCACAACAAGGCATGTCGCGAGCGATTTGATGCCATCTTCCCTAGAGAAGCTGCAGCGCCGCCTACACCGGCGCCAGATGTCGGAGCACCGAAGACACCTGGACCGCTTCCAATGCCTAAGAGTTCAGAGAAAACTTCTTCTTCCTCTTCCACAGGAGCAGTAGAAAAGGAACATTGGGTTGAGCCGGAGACCACTGAAGGTCCCGAGTACTCTCCTGATGAGCTTCCCGAGGGGTATGTCCCACCGGAAGACGTTGCGGCTGGGGTGTATGCCCTGGTGACGAGACAGCTCACCCGGAACGAAGTGTTGTCCCGACCTGATGCACTGCAGGCGATCCGTAAGGAGTTCGATGGTGTTGGTTCCATGGGAACATGGGAGCTTGAGTCGGTTGATGAAGAGTTCCGCGTGAAGGAGGCTGCATTGCAGAGTGGAGAGACGATTCACATTGCAGACTTGCTTGCTATTTGCAGCGAAAAACACGTTGAGTTGGCTCCAGAGCTTCGTGCTCTGAAAGGTCGCGTGTGTTATCGTGGTGATTCTGCAAAGACGGCTGAAGGAAAGCTAGCACTTTACCAGACGTTAGCTGCGTCTCCTGCTTCGATCGTTGCAGCCAATAGCGTTATTTCTTTTGGTCTTTTTGAGGGACGCAAGTTGTCATCGGCAGACGCCGTTAAGGCGTACCTTCAATCGGAATTGAAGAGTTTGGCTGCCACATACATCCGTCTCCCAAGAGAGTTGTGGCCTGAGTCTTGGTTCACCCCAAGCGGCTACCCTCGCTTCAAAAGACCAATCATTAGATTGCGCAAATCGCTATACGGGCACCCAGAAGCTGGGGCCCATTGGCAACAGTTTCTTGAAGAACAGTTGTGTCTCTTAGGAGCAGTCAAGGTTGAAGAGTTTGCATCCACCTTCACCATCCCCACCTTCGGAGGATTGGCATTGGTTGTCTACGTCGACGACTTGATTCTCTCAGGACCAAGTCAGTGGCACGAGCCTTTCTGGGAGGCGTTGGGTGAAAAGGTGTTGATTGATGACATTGGACCGTTGGGTCGCTTCCTTGGTCGACACCACTCCACTGTCGAGGTTGACAACACAGAGTTCTTTGGCTTTGACATGCGTGCTTACGCTGAGGCTACTGTTCAAGAGTACTTGAGGGTTGCAAACAGCCCGAAGATGAAGGTAGTCGCATCACCGTTTCTCAGCAAGGGGTTCGTTGGAGCAGAAGAGCGTGGTGCTCTGGCATCTTCAGCCAGCAGCATTCTAATGAGACTGATGTGGTTGGCACGCCTTGCTCGTCCCGACCTGCTGAGAGTTGTGACTTGGTTAGCAACCATGGTACAGTCCTGGACGCAAGCTTGTGATGCGTACCTGTACCGTGCCATGTGCTACCTCGAGTGCACCAAGAACGCTATGTTGCTTGGGTATGTGCGTGATGCGCCGGAGCATGTGTTTGTTGAACTTTTCGCAGACGCAGACTACTGCGGAGACGATGAACACACCCACAGTACCACTGGTGGATGGCTACAGTTGTCTGGCCCGCGGACATCGTTTCCTTTGGCATGGCTGTCGAAGAAACAGACGGCTACTTGTCGAAGCACGACGGAGGCAGAGACTGTCGCATTGTCGTATGTGCTCTTTGAAGAGGGTTTGCCATTGGTTGAGTTGTATTCCGCAATGCTTGGGCGTCCTGTGTTGTTGAGGCTTCGCGAAGACAACACTGCATGCGCGAAAGTCGTGACTGCTGGATACTCCAAGAAGCTGAGGCATCTCAAACGCGTACATCGCGTGAGTTTGGCTTCGGTGAAGGAACAGTTGGATCGCGATGACGTGGAACTGAGCCTTGTTGGAACAAGCGACCAGAAAGCCGATGCTTTCACAAAAGCAGTTGAGCCTGCACTATGGCCCAAAACCCTCCAAAACCTTGGAGTGCACCTTGATGGGTACACCATCAAGCACACCTCAGGCACTGGCCTGAAGCTGGACAAGCAGATGGCATTGCAGCCAGACACACCAACGACAGACGTAGCGACAGGACCTCAGGGCACGACAGGCCCTACCCAGCCAGGGTACAAGAAACGGCAGAAACACAAGCCGAAGAGAATACCTCCGTACAGTGTGCCACAGAACCTTTCCGAACCAGCTGGATAGCCCGGGATTCAGAACTGATCCCAAGCCGTCGAGCAGCTCAGGAGTCAGAGGGGGGGAGAAGAAATCCCTCAGCTAGAAACGTCCCCAAGAAGAACTGAGCTCGAGTGAGGTTGCACACTTCATGTATAGATGACACGTCATGTATAGTTGATGTCTAGGAGCACTTATCCAAGACTGGAATTGTCATGTAAAGACTTGCATCATCGGTAATCGGCTTTGCCGTTGCACTGTGGACGCCAACCTGATTTGGCTCAAGAACTTGAAGAAAAGGTGCCAGGGCCGTGAATGTCGTTCGAGACCGTATCGACCGCTGCCTTTGCATAAGAAAGTCAGGTTCCAGAGTTTATCTACACCCCATGGAATTTGTGTGTCCCTTAAATAGCCGGCTGATTTTTGGTGTGTGGTGCAGACTAGACGGATGTGGGTGGCAAAGGCAAGCCGCCATAGACTTGAAGCAGGATGTCCAACGGCAATGTTTCAGCCACGGAAAGTGTGAAAATTATGCGCATGCGAATACCAACAACTACTGCCTGAAGATGGAGGTCAATTACATCCAATTAGCCTTCTCTCGTGCCGTTAGCAATTTGAGGAACATGATCCTGCATGGGCGCCCCGCACCTGTGTCGCCCTTCTTGAGCGAGAGCACTTCGGCCCGAGCAGAGAAGATTGTGATTTTTGTTGTTTTGGGATGTTTTGGAATTACATTGGGTTCAGAGTAGATGGCACAAACCGCTACATGTTTTCTCTCTTCTTAAAGATTGGGGTCGATATAAACCACCCTTTGGGGATTGTGCCATCTACCCTGAAACCACTGTACACCATTTCACGTGATGATGTGTCATGCTCCTGCTCTTGGGAAGATGTGGGGTGAGCGCACGTGCATGTCAATCATGAAGAATCATTCATCCGTTCACCTTTGCCACTTCCTGCAGGTGTTCACATTTTCGAATTTCCTAGTGTAAACACATTTGAAAGCTACCTCTCTTCGGTCAACTGTGCATGCCATAGCGGGCACATGGAATGGCATGCCGCAGTGACAGCAATCGAGAAACCCTGGACCTGACTCTTTTTAGCCACAGCTTTGAAGCTCCAGGACTACAGGACCACGAGCTTTGAAGGTCTCACCTATGCAATCTGAGTGGCCGCATGAGGCGAGAGAAGAGACAAGGCTGCAACGGGTGACACGGAGTTTCCGCCGGTGGCCAAGGTAAGAAGTTGCGGAATCCCAAAGCAGCACCGGTCTCCAACAATCCGGGCAGGAGCGGAATCGGTCAACAGCTTTGTTGGCTCCTCCCAAGGGTCGGGTGGCTCATCCCATGAATCAATGCAGCCCTCGTTTCAGTTGAAGAGAGAGAGAGAGAGACAAGAGAAGTCTTCATGCTGAACCTCTTCCAATTGGGATCGGGCACTTTAACCTGGCAAAACGGACGAACTAGGCGACCCGAATCGGCTGGCGCCCCCGCTAGGACGAGGCACTTGTTCCGCTTCGAGTTGGGCGCGGCGCTGGAGTTGGTCGACCTGCCAGGCTACGGCTTCGCGAAGACCTCCAAGGAGGCCGGTCCCGTGGGGCCTTGGATCTTTGACGTGAAGGGTGGAGGATCCCCGTTGCTACCAGATCTTCAAAAGCACACTGTGCTTTTGCGAAACAGACATGTTATATATCTCATTCAGTTTAAGCTTCCAATTAAATGCAATGTGACTGACAGATTTGATGGTTGGTCAAGTTAGCCCTTTCGCAAGAAACTTTGTGCGAACCAACCTTTTGAAGGCTGAACCCATTTTATATAATGTCAGTTTGAGCCATAATAACGAGCACACCTTGGTAGTCGGTAGCAACGGGGATTAACCGAGTAATTATGTATACTGCATACAGCATTTATGCATGGTGTTCAAGACTGCGTTAGAGAGAGGATTCACCTTTATGTCCGCGAGGAGAGGCAGGTGTAGGCTGAAAGGGATTGGTCGAGCTCCTGACTTCCTTGGTCACATTACCCTGTATGCTTTTTTGTATAGCTTAAAATCCCGTGTGGTATTGTGTGGTGGTTTATCCACCGGGTTGCCCAGACACGCTCAGATGGTACCAAGGGCCCAGGTGTTTGTGGGCAGAATCCGGGCAAATATGTACCTTATACACCTGAGGATCTATGGATCTATCGCACTAAGTCTAAGTCCGCAGGCTTCCAAGTTCGTGCATCTACCATATACGTCAAAAAGCCTGAAGAAGCCTGAAAAGTAGCACATACGACACCGGAAGTTCAAAAGCATGTGGATCCCAAGGTTCAGTGAACTAATTGATTCTTTGAATTAAAGGGAGGGGTCAGCCGAGGGGGGGGCCCCCCCCCTCCCTTTTTATTGATTCTTTCAATAAACACAACCACCTCGCCTCCCTCCGCGTCCCCTTGATCCTTCCACACCCCTCGCTTTCGTCCCCACTGTCCTCAAGTATAGAATCTTTTGTGATTCATGGAGCGCAGCTGTATGTTGTGCTGGACCTCCGTGCATAGGTTTTTCTATTGGGTTTGCTTGGCCATGATCATTGTCATAGTCCAGCAGGCAAGACACTGCACATCCCGCCTTGGCGTCGTCAGGTCCGAGAAAGCTGGCGAGAACTGGTTGACAACTACTTGAGCCCTGCCAGTGCAGGGCGAGTCGTCTCGAAACTGGGGGCCCGAAGTGGGAGGATGATGGAGGATGGTTTGAAAGTACTTCGTTGCTTCAGCCTGCTTCAGCAGTTGAATGGTTTTGGGATGTGTTTGAGGGCACACCGTCATCCAAGATGCAAAGAGGGCATCCTTGGGCTGTTGGGTCGAGTCAACTTGGGTGGCTCTCTGTGCTCATTTGTGCTCCTTTCATATTATTTCATTTTTTCGGGACCCAATCATCGGAATCTCCCTGCATGGTACTTGTGATATATGATATATGTTATTTGTTGACCCGAGAAAGGATGGACTCAAGACTCATCAAGACTCATGAGGTTCCCCTCGTCTCTCACCTAGCTGGAGGAGGTGAAGATCTCAGAACTGGTTTAAGCGAAATTCTACAGGAAACCCAGGAAGCCTATAGTTCTCCAGATCAAAGCCATGGTTTCAAAGCCAAGATGTTCCCTTCAAGCAGTTCAAAAGGACGAGACAAAAGGATCAGAAACCCGCTTGGCGTTGTCACCCTTTGAGACCTCGTCGTTCAGGCTGATTTTTGGGGGCCAGTTGGCACCTGTCATCGATGTATGATATTAACGGTGAATATATCCAAACGGGTATAGTCATTGTTTTTCAGGGTAGTGCAGGTACCATGTTCTTCCACTCCAAGACCATCACCCCAACAGGGCATGGTTGCAAACCAAGTCAAAAAATTGGCTCCAGACTCAGACCCCCCAAAAGAAATATTGAATAATATGGAATATAAATACATAAAACACAAACACACATGTCTCCCTGTTCGTCTCCCCTGCAGCGGAGCGCGGTTGAAGGAGCAACGCCGACCACCTGGAACGTGTGATCTCCTTGGTGGACGCGCGCGTGGGCGTGAAGTCCTCCGACGCGCCTTTGTCGGAAACGTGGAAAAGTTGGGGGTGGCCAAAGAAGGAGGGGTAGGACTGGATAAGAGATAGACTTACATCCTGGATGGATGTTGATGGTTTTGGACTTCTGGAGAGTTCTGGAGGCACACCCACCCTACGTTGGCGTGGATGAAAGATCACAAGGACTGTTTGGTGCAGATTGTAAATTTCAAGAATTGACACTGCGACATGGCGACAGAGCAAACATTGATTTGCTGCTGCCGCCCCGGACTTAATAAAGTTACTGTCAATGAGAACATTCCCTCCCAAAAAGCATCAACAAGCACATCCCAAACAGGGGTTGAGCAAGTTCGGAATGTTCGGAGCAGCTCAAAGCAATGGCTGTGGCATGTGGTAGACACAGATGGAAAAAAATATAACTGGATGCATGAAGACTTATTTTTCATGTCTACACTCCCTGGAACTAACATGAAAGTGGATGGCATGGCCCCTTGGAAGCATGTTCCTTCCAATTCCATGTCAGTTCCACGGAGAGTATATAAATTATATAAATGACAAGTGTTTGCAGACGCTTTTCAATGGGGGCGCTCGAGGGGGGGGCGATCCTTCCCATGCACCAACGAGGAGCAGCTTTGGGACTTGTTGTTGGAACGGGAGCGCCAGATCATGGTGGTGCTCACGAAGGCATTGGTTGCATGTGTGACGAGATTGATTAATCAAACAAGAAAAGACAACCTATATCGACGCAGCGGAAGTTAGAATGCCGTTTTGGAAAAATGCTAGGCTTATGTTTGGAACCCGGCACCCAGTTTTGTGGTATGCCAAGTGTAGCTACCCGGCCTGCCGGGGTTGGGGGAGCCGGGCATACACACTTAGAATGTTACCCCGGGCCCTCCGACGATCATGCACCTGTTGAAAAACAAAAAACCGCCACGGGAACAGTATATATCGGGCCAATTTACAGTATAAGAGATGGAGTGCTTTGCGTGCCGGGCATTTGTATTTAGATCATTTTAGATCAGCCTCCAGCAGCCATCTCATGACTACTACAACTTCGGTCTCTCAATCAACTTAGGTCTCCTGATACCATCAACTTAGATCAGCCTCCTGATACCATCAACTTAGGTCTCTCAATCGGACGTAGTGAAAGTTAGAATACCGGTACACATTCCATATCAACTGGCCAAAAAAAAATGGAAAATGGTCTGGCATTCTAACTTCCACTGCGTCGGTATATGTGGTCCTTCCGCATGTTCCTCCACGAACTCCTGTTCCGGCATCCTTGCGACTCGACCTCGTGAGCCTCTAGAGACCAGACCCCCGAACTGGTGGACCTTACAAAGCCCCGTGTCTTTCCATATAGCTTGCAGTACGACTGGGGGAGTAAAACTCACCACTTGTGGCGTTCGAACGCCACCCGACCCGAGCCAGGCGGACCAATGTACACCGGACATGCTGAACAGAACCATGGCACATGTCGTGTGACTGGGCGCAGATTTGAGTTGGTGGAGCTATGACGAACAATGGAAACTCGGAAACTAATCCATTGAAATCCAAGGGAAGAGTTCGGGAAGAATGATGGTACTGGTACTTGATCGGGTCTTTTTGGTGAATCAATCGCGCGAGTCGCATGTTGGGAGATTTGATGGATTCCGCTAGCATAGCACACATAAATTGACACCCCCGCAAAATTCTGTAGCACCTTGGAATGGTTTCTCGGGAGGCGCGGTTACTTATAAGAAATCCAAAGATCTACGGGTTTGACTCCAAACGACGAGGTCTTTCTTGGAGACCATGCCGTCCAGCTACGTGTGGCCCTATGTGCATGCCGTCTCTGGACTGGAGGGGCATGGCGTGGACTTCCTGAGGGCCAGCGTTAGCCTCTTGACCTTGGACCCGCTCAGTGGGCGAAGGTGGGGACAAGAAAAACCATCGTGGATGAAGATGGTTTAGGGGGCGCCAGGAGGGCCCAGTCGTACCTTCCGAGAAGGTATGTGGATCCCTAGGGAAGGTTCTTCCAAAATGCTGCAATTGCATGCGCAAATTTGGTCTGTTTGTGGAAGAAGCTGTTTGTGAAGAAATCATGGAGGGTGAAGACATCTGGGCTTTGAAACCGTGGCCACCTCCGCCTTACGGGACTCGGGAAAGAAACACTGAGGCATGGGGGGGGGGTCCCAAAGGGTAAGAATGTAAGAGATTTACATGGGGAAATGGAAGTGGAATCAGTTCGTGTGGGGAGATGATTCGTTTGTTAAAATGAGGACAAAGTAATTCTGGCACCTTTGTGGGTCAATGTATCAATGAGTCAATGCTGCTTCATTTCACATGTGTCTTACAAGTCAGTCTTGTGGTTTGTGCGGCAAATCCCCATCCCAAGGGCCGATATAGTTTGGACACTTTCTTCATCACGTTGCAAACTGCTGCATGAAGCCTAGGGAAAGACCATAAACCCCACCACAAAAACCGGAATAGTAGACAATCATAGAACATGTTTCATGATACATCCCGAAACACCAATGCTTGCAATTCCTGTTAATTCGTAAACCCTATCTTAGCCTATACCTTTACAACAGTTTCATACAATTTCAATATTAAACACCTTCGACCAATGGCAGAGGCTGTTTTCCCGACACACTTCTAACCTACATGCTGTGTTCCAGGCATGGTGGCATCCGACTATTTGGCCAGAAAAGCAGGGAATTCTTCGCGCCAAGCGCGGTGGTGGGTTTGGTATTCTTCGCTGGGAACGGAAGGGTTGGTCATGCTTGCTGGGTGCAGTGAGGTTCGTGTGAGGAGACCGTTTTGGTGTCGTAAGGTGGTAGAGACTCTACGGTAGAGACATGGAAAATTCAATTATACTGGGCCCCAGTGAGATAGGAGTTGTGGAGCATAGTTGGGGCAAGTTCCGTTTCATTAGAGCATGTATATGCATGTATATCAATCCATGATGTCCTTCAAGAACAGAATCAAGGTAGCAGCAAGCTTCGATGGTGGGAACTTTTGGATGACGGGAATCCAACCCACGATTGCCTTCTTGGGAGGATGATTTGATTCAATCTTGACTGAGGAAGAGTTTCAGCCACACCCTGGGAAAGCTAGAGGTCATTTTGTGTTCCATTTGGGCGTGTGTTTGGCAGCCAAATTATTTGTGTCTACTTTTTGTATATCACCTCTTGGCAATGGAAGAATGACATGAAAAGAATAGCCATGGGTGTCCGCGAATGGACACAGAAGAGGAGAGAGAATCGAATGTTCATATTCACATGAAGTGGGAATAAACCTAAAATACTCTGTTTGTGCCACACGCCAAACTGAAAACCGACCAACACCTGTGTGGGTGTCTTTGTGTGCCAGCCACGTCTACCTCTCCTTTCACTTGCCCTCTCAAGAATGCTAGTACAGGCTTAGACAAGGGTGACTGGTGCCGCCGCCATGGCCAGTGTGGCGCCGGTGTGTGTCACAGGTGCTGGTGGATTTATCGCCTCCCATATTGCCACTCGGAACGCCTCGGATGGACACCACCTGGCCCGATCTTGGGTCCGCATGTGTGGTGGATTTGGACCGCATGGAAGTCTTGGTGTTCTTGTGTGGGTAGACACAGCTTACATCAACGTCAGGGTGAATTGGCCCTGGCATGTCGGAGTGTGTCAACCTACTAGCTCTGGCTGTTGATTCCGGACTCAAAGGGAGGTCCCCCACTATATATATATATATCACTATATTATAGGAGAAACTGAGAAAATATAGGGCGACAAAAAGATCCCAGCCTGAGGAGTCCAATTCTGTAACAGGCAGATGTGATCAAAGCCCCTGATGAAAATAGACTTGATGTATTGATCCTGCTTGAGAAGATCGACTCCGCAAGAAAAAGGACCATGTTGTGTTTGAAAATTGAAACTAAACAGTGGTCACTCAGTAGTTGTGCAGGTCAACTTTGGTGGTTCCCCCTATACCCTCAAGACAGCTAAAGCTCAAGTCCCAAGTGCTGGCTTACACCCAGGTTTGCCCAAAAAACACTCCCAAGTGTTCCGAAAGGAGGCATCTTTTGAGCCAACTCGATCTGCCACTTCGCCTGGTTCTTTCCACCTCACCAAGGTGAAGCTGCTCTTGGAGCGGGGCCACGTGGTCCGCGGCACGCTGAGGGATGCGAAGGACCCGCGGAAGACGGAACACCTCATGGCGTTGCCAGGTGCGGCGGCTGAAGCCGGCGGAGCCGTTTGTGAGGATGGGAGTTGTCCACCCAAAACCGTGGGATTGCTGGAGCATGCTTGGCCTCGTGTGAGCTTGGAGCTGGAATTCTGAGAGCGTTCTGAGGTTTGCGGCTTCAAGACTGTCCAGAATTCAGAATTCCAGCTGCTATCAACCCAAACCATCTCAGTTTGGAGGAGGTGAGTAGCCCTCCTCATCACCCACTACACCCCACTACCCTTCATCATCCTTCATCACCCTTCACGTTTTGAACGAAAACATCTCCCACCCCCCGTCGCAGGCGCCTCTGAAAGGCTTAGCCTTTTCAGCGCCAGCTTATTGGAGCCGAACGCCTTCGACGAGGCCGTCCAGGGCTGCCGGGGCGTCTTCCACACCGCCTCGCCGCTGGTCCCGGGGAAGGGCGTGGAGGATCCAGAGACCTTGGTGCTGAGACCGGCCATCGAAGGCGGTGGGGAGGTCGGAGGTCGCTGGTTGAGAAGACGTGTCGGTCCGACAAATGAAGGTTTTGAGAGGAAGGATGGGCTGGGATTTGGGTGGGGAAGACTTTTTGGAACTTGTAGGAGGCCCAAATCACCCAAGGTCGACGTGGAATGACGCTCCCACATGGAACAACGAACCAAATGAAACAAGCATGTCGCCCAGATCACCTAATAGAGGACACCTATGTACTCGTGCCTTTGTATGTCATAGCATCATGCGTCCGAGTGTAAAGCCATGTAAAGCCATTTCGTCACTAGGTCGAGCGAAGGCACCGGATCTTGGTGACGAAGGCAGATTCCAAACGAGTGGTTCACCGCTACTGCTTACGCTTCCAGTTCACAAGTGTGATGGGCCGGCAAATGGCTCATGTGGCACGGATGGACGATGTTCAAGTCGGGGAGGAAACCCGAAGGACATCACTTGCTTCCAGCCGAGTCGGCTGAGCAGGGCAGTTTTTTGTTGCCGCTTGCTGACTTCGAATGACTCACTGCTTGTTTGCTTTCCCTGCTCTCATTCACGCGGCGACTGGGGCAAGTTTAGTGACGCTGGCCACGCTGTTCCACTTGCGATTGACTAGGTGATGGATTCGGATATTCTTATGTTCAACCCTTACTTGGTGATGATTGGACCCTCTCACTCCTATTTGGGTCGAAAACACCAAGCAGTTTCATGACCGGTCCTTCAGCTCCCGCAAGGCACTTTGAACGTACTGCGCTCCTGCCAGAAAGCGGGCACAGCACCTTGGACCGAGGAAGGTCGCGACCGAGTCACCGAGTCCAAATGCGCGTAGAGTAGGTCACTGATGGACGACTACCCTCCATCCAACAAACCTGGAAAGGTGGAACATGGCCCCGGCTGGTAAAAACGGTGGTTTTCCTCTACGAACAGGCTCAGCTTCCACTTCCATGCTTGTTTGGAGGGTGTGATGCAAGTGATCAGTCACCTCTATGGACTTCAGGTGTCAGTGACTACACCTGCACAGACTTTCTTTTGAGGCCTTTGTGCCCCCACGCCTCAGGTCCTTTGAGGTTTACACCCCGGTTCCGAGGGCCCACATGAGTGGGAACCTGATGGCACGGGCGATGTGACGAGGAATTCATCTCCAACCCAGGAGTTTTCAGGTTCTATGTTGATCCAACCCAAGGCGTAACTTGCGATGTGTTCGTGGTCTTTTTCTTGGGGGTGCGAGGTGCCGGTGGAAGTTTCATTTGCATACGAACCGGTGCCCGAAAAAGGATCCTTGAGGCCCAGTCCGTACCCCATCAGTACCCAGCCCAGCCCTTGACCCATTTGCGACCCCTACTTGTACCCTTGAGCTACTCAGTGCAGCTGAGGTCAAGACGGTGGTGCTCACCTCCTCCATGTCGGCCGTCGCGCCCGTCCCGGAGCCACCACTCAAGTCGGAGGAGCATTGGTCGGACCCCGAGGAACAGAAGGCGCGGGGGAGCTTTTATGGAGCGTCCAAGAGACTTGGACGCAAAATGACGCAAACATGTGCTGTTGTGTGGGAGTCGAGTCAGAGTTGGACTGGGGGGAAGACGAGGTAGGAATGTATATTATGTGTATGTTATATAACGTATAACGTATATAGCCATATTTGTGTGTGTGTTGGATTTGACTTCTCTTGGGGCATGTGCCATTTGAGGGTATCTATTTATGAAGATGATCTTGGAGTCTTAGACTTGCAGCCCGCCAAATGTTGACATGTTTTCGGAGGGTAGAGCCACAGTACGTGCTTTGTCTCATGAGTTTTTCGGGGAAATGAGCTCCGGATGAGCGCGACAAGAGCCGGAGATGCTGGCTTTGTTGGAACCATGCTGTGGGTTTTGTCATAGGATCAACCAACAAAGCTACAGGATTCACATGGATCAACCAACAAAGCCCTGTTGGTTGGTTGATTTTGTTGAGCCATCGACGTGACAACACTGGTTTCAATGGCTTCAGTCGGGGTTTGGGACACCAGACTGACCACAGTCACAGGTCAGTAAACCGTTATCACATTTTGAGGGAACCAGATCCTTGCCAACAATCACCTATTCAAGCAATGACTCAATGACTTATACCGATTATAAATGCGATTGTCAGATATGGTCAGTAGAAACCAGAGAATGAGCTGGCACTTCTTCAACCCGCGAAAGCAGGAAAAAAAATCGCAGATATCGAGTCTGAAGTGGACCGTGTCCCAAAAGTTTATCTCAGTTCAGGTGAATTGCCCTGGTACCCTACGTGCATTACATCAAATGAGCATCCTGCAGAATCATTCGCGTCAAAGCCAACTAAATCAGGAAGATGAGAACTCACCCACCCCAGGTGATTTTGGCTTCGCTTCGCTTCTCTCTCTTTGGCACTGAGGACTTTGGCAGAGCGTGCTGCCTTTGATTTTGTGGCGAAGGAGATGCCAAGCGTCAGGCCTGGGCGGCTTCCCAGCCTTGGCATTGTGGCCGGAGAAACGAACGAACATGCAACTGGTCGAACTGAGCATGGAACTCGTAGGTTGAGATTCACCCCAAGATGCTACCGAAATTGATGCAAAGTAATTCCAAGTTACTGATCCACACTGCAGGCTGGCAACCATTTGCCCCACCATGGTGCTGGGCCCTATGCTGCAGCCCGAGGTCAACATGACCATGGGAGCGTTTCGGGGCTGGTGCTTTGGCGATTTCAGTGACTCCAAAACGCTTTCAGTGTTTCTCACCAAACCTGCGACTGCCTCCTGACTGCCTCCCTTGCCTTCGCCTCGTTGCCGGATGAGGTTTCCGGTCGACCCGCCGTGGGGGCTCAGTGGGACAGACGTCGAGCCCGGGCTCGGCTCGTTTCCGCGGACAGCCGCGCGGTCGTCCGATGCTCCCAGTTTTTTCGGGGGGGATTTGAAGGGTGAGCTTCATTTGGTGAGCTCTGATGTTTCATCTGGTGAGCTCTGACCACGGCATCCGATCGCCCGAGCCAAGGTTGAAAAATGGTGTGCCTGGGCATCCGAAGTGTCAGAATGACTCCATGAGCTTTGTTGACGTGCGCGATTGTGCAGCGCAGCATGTGGCTGCCATGGAGATGGAGGCGCATGAAGCAAAAAACAACGGTGTAGAGTGCATGAGGCCAGAAACCTGTTTAGGATAATCTATGGCAGAGAAAAGCGCTTCCCCCATGTTTTTGCACTGCCATGTCAATGTAGAATAGTTATATTATATTAATATATAGTTAGTTTTGCTGCTCGCCTTTAGCCATGCAATTTCATCCCAAAAAGAAGATCTTCGTATCGGTGTTTTGGCACCAAAATAGCTGCACCGTATCGCTCGAGGACAAGGCTGGGCGCTTCATGAGTCTCGACTGCAGCATCCATTGGAACGACCTGGCTGTGCTGATGAAAAGCCTTTATCCCTCCATGCCGGCTGCTGAGCCTGTCGACGCTTGATTGTCTCAGCCTGTTTTGCGGTTCTTTGGGCAGGGTGATCGCTGATTCACGGGTGGGACATGTGGACCCTGGCTTGAAATCAAGCCAATGCTTGCATACTTAAGAGGCAAGATGGTACAAGATAGACCCGTTCGGAGCGGTGGAACGGCATGGACACCGAGTGGGCGGACACCGAACGGTTGGTCGTTTCTTTCGGATGATTCATAGAACCCTTATATGGAGATGCAATGAGATGCAAAAGGATTCTGGCAGGGGGTTTTGAGTCATCATCGATCTATTGTTTGTACTTGTTTGTAAAGCTTCAAGATCCTTCAATTCATGGCGCATTTAATGGTACAGTGATCATATGCTACAATATGCTACAGTACAGCTATCAATGTGCGCGTTCTCACTACTTCTTCATGGCCCCGAACGTGTATTGCTCCACTCTCATGGGCTGCCTTTGTCACCGTGACTGACGGCGGGTCATGGCAGTCAGCCGGGCCACCCGCTCCGTTCTGGAGTAGAGATGGACCTTCGGCAACCGGGAGTACGCCCAGAACCTTCTACTAAACACCGGTGGGACCAGGCACCTGTTCATAAACCTTTTGTAACTCGTCTTGTTTTGGAAGGTGCTGCTGGAAGGCATTGCCCCCCTGGAAGAAGTCGTGGGGGTTCCCTGGGAATCAGATTTTCTGATATTCTACTACTATTAAAGATTATGGCTGGTATAGATGCACTTATATGTACCTATCATACATGATTTACATTGATTTACCACTACCTCCGCAGACTATCAGACTATCATAGACTATCATATCATACTCCAAAGTAGAGCATCGGCACTGCACAAATGACCAAGCTAGCTTGGTCTTGAACGTGGTCTTGGGATGTCTTGGGTTGCCCCATGACCAACAAGGTCGGAGGTCCTGTCCTAACCATCATCCTAACCACATTCATCCACTGTTCCTGGTCATTCCCTCGGTGGCATCCTGAAACCGATCTCCACTCCCTCAGGAGGGCGAGCTCCGCCCCGTGACACGCTTCGACCGCGCGCGGCAAGACAGCTTGGGCGTGCCCGTGCGGCCGGTGCCGGAGATCTTGAAGGAGCCGAGCCGAGCATCGAACGAAAGCAACGACGGTGCCATCGACGTCGTCTCGTCTGACAGGAGGAGGGAAAGAAAAGACATCGCGTCTCCGGCATTGTCCGCCGTGGGCTTCTTTGTTGTTCTCCAAAATCTAGAGCTAGTGTTGCTGGTGCTTCCCGGGTTGCTGGTGTTCACCGCTGGGACTACGCCTGTGGCGACGGTCAGTTGGATAATTACACCTGTTTTGCGTATCAGATAGTTTGTGGAGTGTCGTTTCTTTTTATGTTTCTTCCCATATGGGACTATGATGGTTCATTCTCCAGGTGCTTTTCATCCGCAAATCCAGAGTTGTGGACCCTTCCATTTCTCCTTTCTCCGCGTATCGGATGTCGGCAGCAGATTGGGAAAGGGGACGAGCATGAAGGAGCATGTGTTCGTTTTGATTGATCTTGAATATCTCAACACAAAAAAAAATAAAAAAGGACCGCTCCCTTTTTGGAGCATCTTGCAGGGCTCAACCATCCAAGCCAAAGAGAATGATAAGCCAAATGCCCACAGGCTCTCACCACCCACGTGTTTGGCGCAACCCACCGATGAGCCATACGCCACCTACTGTAGCCACCATTCTCGGTCGAGCCTAGGAGGCGACCGCGGAGCTCCAGCGGAGGGGCGAGATCTGAGTGTTCTCCGTGGAGCAAAAGGTGACCGCAGTCGTCGGAAATGTGGGAGCGCGCTTTTTAAGAGTCAAAGAATGAAACTGGACATTTTGGGATTTGAACCTCCCACCCCCCCAAGATGGTAGGGATGTGGGGGGGTGGAGATGGTTGGAACGATGAGAGCCTAATGGTGGTGGTGGTGGTGGTGGTGAAGAGAAAACAGGCGCGAAATTGTTCCATGTAGCCGCATCGCATGATTGTTCCATATATATAATATATAATGTTTTGTTTGGGATCTGTTTTGTCAGTGTGCCAGCATAATGGACACCACAAAACGGAGTTCGGGTGTCCATTGACTCAGGTGATCCATGTAACTCCTTGTATATATAACTTTGGCCGTGGCTCATGTTCAGATCCTTTCTTCGGCTTTTTCGGTCAAAAAATTGCTATGTGAACCTTGGGAATGGGTTTCCCCCTTCATCCAACGCCAGTTACTCTCAGCAACCCCCCAGTGGTGGCGAAGTTCACAACTGAGGCTTTGACGGGCGAACTCCTTCCATTGCTGGAGAAGGCGCAGGGCCTTCTGGGAGCCACGATTGGTCCTGATTTCAGGGCGGGAAGACCGAAAAAATGGGTTTGGTGGCCTCCGGCAATAGAAACATGACAATCACGAAGCATGTCAAAGGTAGTCTATAGTTATGATATGGAATGATAGAATTGAATTTGGTTGGGGATCATGATGGTCTATATTCCTTTCGTTCGTGCTGTAGAGCTATTTGGTGTTTCCTTCGACATAGTTGCAGTGAATGAGCCATGCCTGCCCCAAGCTTTGGCCACACCAGTCACTGCAAGACGGAAGTCACCACCAAATAGAGCAGCTTTCTTCCACGCAGATAGCCTGTCGTGCTTGCCATGTCAGTTCAGATCTCCTCCCGTTCAGCAGATAACCCCTATTAGCTTCACAAGAAATGAGGCATGCCAATGATGTGCCCAGTGACATACTAGAGAACAGAGACTGTAGATGACTGTAGACACTGTAGAACATTGTAGAACTCGAATCCCAACACGTCAACTATGTGAGATCATCAAGCAACTGACTTTTCTTCAACTGACACTGACACCCCCCTGGAAGAATCACAAGGGTCCTCAAATATTTCAGGACGGGAATGTTACTGGGAGCTTATAAGAGCGATGGCCTCCAACCTAATAGCGTTGGCCTCCACCCTAATAGTGGGCATGTTACAGGAAAACCATCTTCACATCCAACGCCAGGCACCTCAGGCCCGGATCGTGGTGCTGTCCAGCACGGCACACCTGGGCGCAACGAAGGAACTCATGGAAGGACCCCCGCACGAGACGCGGAACTCGCCGAGGACGAAGCATGGCCGTTTCGGTCGGTTGCCGGTGTTTCTGTTCGAAGGCGAAAGGTGGGACAAGGGGGACAACACGAACGACACAACCCAGAAACGATGTGTTGAATTCCTACGGTTGGTTGTTTTAATCTATGTTATTGGCCAAAGGTGTCTTCCATGTCCACGTTTTGACATGGGCCTTTGGAGGGCGCCGAAACAGATCCATTGATTGAAACAAGATCCCACACACAGACCAGCAGGATCCGTCACCGAGGGTGGCAACTCCATCTGACCAGCTGGCAACATCAAGGGTGGAATGGTTGTTCTCAGGAGCTTGTAACTCTAGTAGTTGGTTTCCTCAATTTGTGAAATACGTCATGACATGACCACCTGAAGCAAGTTGCAGGCTTCGCAAATGACCAGTGGCTGTTTTCAGCATCATTGCCGTTCGTTACCGTGCGATGACTGTATCTTGGAGGGAACGAAGGCGTCCATAATATGCAGACTGAAGATGCAGAGAGTGTCACATAGATGGCCTGACCGTCCTGACAGTCCTGGCCGGCCGGGGTGCATAGAGGGGAGACCCAGTGGAAGACCACCTTCCATGTACCACCAACAGGATCCAATGGTACCAAATGTGCCAAAGCGAGCCCCCGATTATTTCCAAGCTCGGACATCACTCACATCACTGATGCATATCTATACTGCAGACTGCTGTGCGCAACCTGCAGGAGATTTGATGGCGCCAGAGCGCTACACGCAATGGGGTGCTCTGACAGAAGCCCCTAGTTGCTCGGGGGTGCTCCAAGATCTTCTACCGGCACGGGATGTCCAACCAATTTCTGGTGGATCAGCTTGGAGGACATCCATGAAAAAACCTTGAAAATTGCAGTCGTTTCGGAGCTTCCATGGCACCGGACACACTGACTGAGTCTTTTCCACCCAACTTGGGGATTTGCACCCTCCACCTATCAAGTTCAACCCCCCTAGGAGGTCAATCCGGTTCAATCCTTTGGAATCTGTTTGGACCCCACCATGTTTTGAAAGTCCAACCCCTTCTGCGAACCAAAACCTGATCAATCCGAGGCATTGATAGGGGTTGAGGGAGAAAAGACAGCGGCGATGGTCCTTTGGAGATGGGAAATGAGGGGGATTGATGTCACTGTGGCTATGATGGGAACTGGGAGGTGTGTTTTTTATTGTTTATTATAGCCTTTATAGCCACAATTTTAATGGTTGCTCCAGGCTTCCAAAGCCAGTTCTGTGCTGAAGAGAGCAGTCTAAATGGCCCCACGAATGGGACAGCGGAAATGGTGGCAGGACGCTTCGCACGGGCCATGAAACTTGACCAATGACGACTGTCCTTCATGGCACCCTGAACCTTCAAACTGTCAGAGAAATTGGCAAGTCTGGGAAGTTCATCAGATCTTCATTTGATCTATTTTTCGGTGCCATGCTTAGAGTAGTGCTTCCCCTCACCACGTGGACACCCGGCGCTTCCCCTCACCAGACCAGACCACGTACGATCCCCCACACCCGAGTCGTTCACCTAGTGCTGGGGCCGCCCTTCGTCTCCTTCCCTCCTCAGTGCGCTCGCGTCGTTCGACCTCAGGCGCCTATTGCCAGTCCAAGTTGGCGAACGTCCTCTTCGCCAAGGAGTCCGGGGGTTCGCTCCGTAGCGATGCCGCGATGCCTCCGTTCGTCACGTCCTCTACCGTCCTCTTCGCCCAGGAGTTGGATCGCAAGCTGAAGCAGGCGAGCCGCACCGTCCAGTCCCGGGTGCGACGGACGTCCCAAAGAGTCCCTGTTTGACCGGAGAGTTCCACGAAAGGCCTGGGAAGGTGGTAGATGTTGACATGGTATCGTGTTTAGAGCCCTGGTCTGCCAGGGCCCTTTGGATAGCATGTTTGCGTTGTTCTTTGCTTCAAAACAGTCTCCGATATGGAAGATGACCCACACAAAATCCACTCTGAACCCGAATGACCCTAACAAGTCACAACTTTGTTTTCAGCTCATGATCTCAGCTTGTGAGCGTTGTCCTTGTTTCATCCCAGAACCTCCAACAGCCCAGACCGCCGAGCTCTCTTTGGCCCAAAACCACTCCACTGTTGCTCCACGACGGGTCCAACAGCCATGCCCATTGCACTCCATGCGGCGGCTTCCTGGAAGCCTGAGCTGCAGCTTGCTGACGAGGCCAAGCCCGATGCCGTGGGCCCTCCAAAGGACAGCAAGATGCTGGGGGAACGAGTGGCAGAAAGCTACTAGGAACAAGTGCATCGCTACTAGTAACAAGGGCATTAGTTACTAGTACAGTAGCCAATTTGCAACTATAGTAGCCATTCTATGCCATTCTCTGCTACTATAGTAATGCCCTTGTTACTCGTAGCGATGCACGACCGTTCGTCGCTTGTTCGTCGTTTTCGCGAGCCGTTGGGGCCCTAAGCCGTTTCATGTTTACAGCTTCAACCAGCGCCGTTTCTTTCATGGCTGGACACCACTCCGCGATGACTCGCATGACCACGGCGCCAGCCCACTTGCCACTTGCCTCGTGCCGATGGCGCCGGTGGGCCTTGAACGAAAGGAGCCTCGGTCCTCGTACTTCAACTTCCAACGCCCAGCGCCGGGAGTGCCCTTGGCACCCAACCGCCTCATGCACCAGCGAGGACCACCGATCGAGACCGGACGAGGTAGATGAGACTGGACCCATGCCTTTTTAAGGCCCCCGCTGTTTGGGGTCAAAAGCGGAACAAAGAGGCAGATGGTTTCAATACATCTTTTATGTCCAAGATGTGATGATGTGTGGGTCGGGTGTGCCTGAAGAAAAGATTAGCATCGATTTCCTCGATCTCCTTGGGGCGGAAATCGACTCTCCGCTCCTCTCCTCATCGCTTATCTGTCCGGTCGCGTCACGGAAAGAAAAACCCTTTAAGATCAGTTCTTTGTTGGGAGAGATCTCCAAAGGATTACTGTGACCTTTTAGAACAAAACTGAATACCCTTTGCACATCATAACAACGCTGAATCATGCCTTCTCGAACCTGTTTGAGACCTAGATCGGCCCATGGCAATCGGACGTGAGGAGAAAACAATTTGCGTCATTTCCTCCAAAAGGTGGAGGTGGTCGACGCTTGGATGAAGAACGTTTGGGCACTTCCTCAAGTTTCTGCGAATGTAAAAACGGCACTCATAGATTCCCTGTAGCTTCCGCCCGTTTTCCCACTAATTTCAAGAAGTCAATTGTTTCATAGAAATCCTGGTTGTTCTCATGGACACGGAACGATTGGCTTCAATGAAGAAGCCTGGACCAGTAGGCATCCAGCAGGTTTTCATACACAAAGAATTGCCAGGCCCATGCCAGATATCTGGATTTGCCGGAGTTTCTGCGGGGGGCCAGCAAATCGTCGCACGGGAACGACTGCCTGGCACTGCTGCGAGCTGCGAGCCGCGAGCGAGAAGAACGGGGAACGGACGAGGTCGGACGGCCCATGGGCGTCTCTACCGTGCCAGCGACCCGTAGCAGACGAAGAAGACATGAGGTTGAGGCTGAATTCTCCACGCGAGCTGCTCAAAAGGAGGTAGTGTTCAACTCGCAAAACAGCGCCGCGCACCTCCGCGTAGCGTCACGGATAGGGCGAGGACAGCCCCGTATCCGCAAGGATACTATGATAGTGCATCTTGCCATTGCATGCCATTGCACCATTGCTGCCCACAACACTTTTGAGCGCCTGGACATATATCATCAAAAGGAATGACAATAATGTTGTTCACTCATGAAATTTGTTGTTGAAAGATCGAGGTCTCTTGATTAGACTGATTAGACGTAATAAGAGTAAAACTGGGCTGCACAATTCTGGTCCATCTCCAGCCGAAGAACCCTGACAAGACTGGCACGCGAGAAGCAGGACTGCCTTTTCTGGGCGTCCAGGACTGCCCTAAACAACGCTTTTCAAACCGAAGCATGGTCTTTCAGCCATTCGTGCATCCAAGGAAGGTCTTTTGCAGAAGGAGGTTCAGAAGAAACGTGGGGCAACTGGGTTGAAGAGCGCCAGTTCGTCTATCCCGCCAATGTTTCAAGGTCACAGCCGAGTCTATTGATGGTGTAGCAGGATGGTTTCATTATGGGTGGTTGTTCATCGATGTTGGTTGAAATTCATTGAACGTCGATTTGTTTGACGATCTGCGATGTTACATCCTTGCATCTATTGATGTGTCATGCTTTGTCTAGAGGGTCGGGTCCCCAGGTGTTGCTTTGAAGATTTTGAAGATCCACACACTGGGACTCCAGGAGGGCAAACATCTAGAAATCCAGAAGGACTTGCTGGTGAGATCTGGGGTCTAGTCATGTCTAGTCATCCACACGATATTGCTAGATCCACGAAACATATATATATATATTAAACATGTATATATCCGGTATTGCGACTCATGACGTACTGCTGGGAGACTCCTCCGGAAAAAAAATACTTTGCCGAAAAAGCCGAGCGCGGTCGACGGCTTCGAAGGGATTGTCCAAGCGAAACACGGACAAATCGCAATGTAGATCTGGTGATTAAGAAACAACTCCCATATGGAGAGGTAAAAGGATGTAAAACACCAATTCCGGAAGGGAGTGTAAGTTTTTTGAAACAAGCATCGACATTACAGAGTGTTCAACTTCCGTCGCTTGCGTTGGCGCGACTCCGTTTGGGAACTTGGGCAGGGCTGCAGCGTGGGGGTGAGGATCGGATGGGCATAGTTAGCGTTAATTACCGTTTGTGTGGTGTCTGGATGACCATTTAGTGACCATATTGAACTGTTTCTGTGATCTGTCACAGGGTGACTATCGGTCACTGTGGTGCTTGGATGATCTTGGAGGAGGAGACCATTTAGGCTCATTGACTTCGTTCAAAATTGGCCCAATAGGCCGGTAGGCCACAGATTCTCAGGTTGGCGGGAGGCTGGTTGGGATGTTAGGGCCCCCGATGTCTAGCAACCGTGCCATGTGTTGGAAGTGACCGTGCCCCAAACCCATGGACCACCCGGGGTGGCATGGCCAACAAGGAGGGTGGTTTTCCTGTCCCCGTGATGCCCTGTGGTGTCGGCGGTGTGGCTGCCAAGGCGGATTACAAGAGGTTTCTGCTGGAACATTTGAGTGGATAGGCTGCTGAGTCCATGAGCGATAGGCTGGGACCCTGAGCAGTGCCACATGGACGCATCTCAACACATCTCAACACACCAGGTGCCAGCCAACCGTTTAACCCACCGACGAATTCTCGGAGAACCGAAATCAAAAAAGAACAAACTAGACGACGAGTGGCCCGAAAGCATTTTTCATCGCGTAGGATGTCAGAGTGTGAGTTATCTGTTAAGTGTGAAGTGTTAAGTCGAGGGAGTTGAGGTAGTGTGTGGGTTTCTGTGTGTGTGTGTGTCTATGTCCGTGTGTATGTGAGTCTGTGTATGTGTGTGTTCGTGTAAGTTGAGGCAGTGCGTGGGTGTCTGCATGTGCATGTGTCTGCATGTGTGTACTGAGAGAGATACGACACGTGGAGGCGTGCTGCAATCGGACTGCCCAGCAGCGCTGCATTGTCGGCGATGGAAGCGTCATACAGGGTTGGCAGCAGAGAGGCAGCTGGAACGAACGCGAAACGAAACGAAATGAAACGCGAAACGAAACGAAACGAAACGCGAAACGAAACGCGAAACGAAATACGAAATTAAACGAAACTAAACGAAACGTAGGTTTCCTGCTAGTACTAGTAGCTTCTTGTTTACTAGTAGTAAGTAGTAAGGCCAGGAGCCCCTAGTAGCGTCCTTGCTCCTAGTAGCGACGCCTTTGGTTACTAGCAGCTTCTTGTTACTACTTCTTGTTACTAGTAGCGATGTATTTGTTCCTAGTAGCTTGTACTTGCCTCTACCTCGTAGGAAGTCAGAGTGGAACACGTTTGAACACATACATGTCTATTTCTGTGGTTCTCTCTCTCTCTCTCTCTTTCGTTTTCTTTCTGTGTGACGGATCTGGATACAAAGATGGCCAAAACAGAGACATGTTCTCAATGACTTTCACCGGACGTGGAAGACTTTTGGGTCTAATGCCTCAAGTTCGTTTCATGCGTTTGACGATGTTCCATACGTGCTTTCTTTTCATTATCTGCGCTGAGAGATTCTAGGCGTGAACGAAACACGCCACAGCCTCGATACTCCAAGCCAGTTCTCATCTTCCAGCTCCCCAGCTACTCCGCGTACTACAGTTGTACGACACAGTCACCAGTGTTCATCTTCCAGCTCCACAGATACTCCGCGTATTCAACTTGTACTACCCACTCACCAGTTCTCATCTTCCCACTCCCCAGCTACTCTGCGTACTAAAGTTG